TATCTCAGATGCGGGATGTTTGATATGAAACATGTCTAAAGAACTCACCTATGCCAGGGTGGAGATTTGGTCGTCTCCTATAGTATCTTGTGGAAAGATACCTAGAGTCCTAGCAGAAACTAGACCTGCACAGAGCCATAAATATGCAAAGCAAAGGCAAAGGCTAGTGTGGTTCAAAGTGAAAACTACCACAAAAGAGTTTGATCCTATATAATCGCTGGATTTTAGATATGTGCTGGTTCAAGTCTCTGTGATACTATGCACATATCTTTTATTCAGTTAGTCTATGGAGGATTCAAGTCCTTGCGACATCTACCTTATGTACAACGATTGAAACAACGACACCATAACACGACACTAGTTTAAAAACTTGTGGGGGGTTGTTAGATTTTTTGGTCAAAACCGCTTTCTAAAATGAGTTTTCAAACTATATATACATCAGTGTGAACACTATGCAAAGCACGACATTTTTTTCTTGCTACAGTAATCCTGGTTTAACTGTTACAGTTTTTAAGTTTTTTTTAAATCGCTACAGTATCCCGCCTCTGCTATAGTATTCACGTGTGCTACAGTAATATTTTTTCAAAAAAATGGTGTCCAGCTTCATGCTTGCTACAGTGAATGCTACTGTAGCATGAATAGTAATCTTGGGTTCTCCTATTTGTATAGAGGAGTAGATTAAATATCAGTACTTTTCATAAATGTTTAGTAGTCTAATGGAAAGTTAAGTTTTGGTGTTTCAAAAGGTCCTTCGTTTGAGGCTTGCCAACGGTAAGCCGAGAAGTATTTTGTTTTAATTAATCCCTCATAAGTTCTAGTGGATTATGGGCCGTGGCTCGTGGGCCGTGAGCCGTGGGCCAATGGGTCAGGGATCAGGGCTAATTAGGCTGAGACGCTAAGTGGCGTTTTGTTAGGCGTACTTTGCACTTCGCACGGAAGCATAGGTGGCGCCACATTGGCTGCCACGAAGGTTGCCCTGCAGGCTGCTTCGCAGCATACGGAGGAGCTACGCATTCGCACGATGGTGTGACCCTAACGTTCTCAAGATCATACAACGCTCCTCTGTTTGACGAGGGTCGTCAATTGGTTAACGAGGTTCACCTGTTCGATGATGTTCGTCTTATTGTCGAGGTTCGGTCGTTCGACGAGGTTCGCCCGTTCAACGAGGTTCGTCCTATTGACGTTCACCCGTTCGACAAGGTTCGTCCTATTGACGATGTTCGTCTGATTTACTGAGACGTGACCCTCGTGTTGCGAAGTAACGCTTCCATTGATTGTTTCACCTTCAGGCGTTACTGCATGCAGTAGTTATAACAACATTTAAATTAATTGATGTTACAATCATAATTGTCATTATGATTTGTAACAGTCACATTGATTTTAGGTGTCTATTGAGCTGGCCTTAGAGGCCTATAAATAGAGCCCTTTGGGGCAGCTCTTGGATACACGAACGTGAGAGCTATTGTCCACACGAAATTCATTCAGCTGTTGTGCTGTTGCTGCAGAAACTGTGCCCGAAGGAACTTTCTCTGAAACCGAAAGGTTTTGAACCAAAAGGTTCTGAGATCGAGGAGATCTTTGCCTTGACTGAAAGGTCTTATAGATCGAGAAGATCTTGACAATACTGGGTTGGTGCACGTCAGAGTACTGTACTGTTGTTCTTAGAAGCAATTTGGCCTTGGGATCCTTGCACCGGAGTAGGCCAAATATTACTTTAAGCACAACGTTTAACATATGCACAGCAGTTAACTTGAAAAAGTTTAAAATTTTAGCACATTAACTTTTACCATTTTTATTCCAGATTTAACCACAATTCCAACACCTCTGAATGTGAGGAACATGGCCAGGACTTGAGATTCAATATTTCATAACTATTCCCACTTTATCCACGAGATTCTATTATATTAGTTGCTCATCATTCCCTTTATTCCAAAGGCTAGAAACATAGTGACCCTCCCCTTTTCTCGTTCATACGATGTGTTTAAAGTACATTAAAAAGAAAATCTATAAAGACACTTGCTAAAGAAAACGTCGTTGCATGGGTCGGGTTCCAAAAAGTAGGCTTAAATCTTGATTTCAGTTATCCTTAACCAATGGTTCGTAAACAGGAGAATATCTATTTTCTAATTAACTGAACGCATAATGAGAGAACACACTATAAGTGGCTTGAGCTTCTCCTAGTCCTTGATTAATGATTTTAATTAGTTCAACACTAACATAGGAGTGGAAGTGATAAAGTGCGCTGTTTGCTTAGATAGCAACATCGAGAAATTCTTAAGAGCACTTGTGAGTTCTCAAGGAATATTATATCTGTTAAAGTATCCAAGTGATACTTAAGTCCCTTAGCAGCTAAGTTATAGGGGATATATTCTTCGAAGGATGAACTTGAAGGAACTCTTTGGTACTGAGGCTTGTGGATTTGTTAATTATAGAAAAAAATTTAATTGAGGGAAGAGAAGGAAACAGATATCTTGATGTTTCTAGTAGTTGTAGACCACGTAGAGATTCTAGCATTAAGATGAGATGAAAAAGAAAAAGGCAAGATTTTGTGCCGGATCATCTTATTGCAACTGTAACTTTGAGTCCCTGATTTTTTTTGGGAAAAGACATTTCAATTATGTTTGTGTACATAATGTTTGTTGGGACATACTAGGGTTAAACACTAATAAGTTGTCTAGTGTGTTATTAAAATTTCATTAGCAAAGTTAACAATTTTACATGAATCAAATAAAAAATCTAATAGAAACATTCATATAAACTAATTAATAGAAACATGCATATTAACCATTACGGTAAGAAATTAAAACTAATAATATAAAAGTAATTATCTTTTATTCTCTACCAAGATGACATTTCTCCCTAACATAATGAAATCCTTTTCAAAGGCTTTTTAGCATGACTGTATTTGATTGACGTAATTAATTGTGTTACCAAGATAAAGTAAAATATTTACCCAGTTAATTGCGCGTTACAAAAGGTAAAAATTAAGACAATTTATCATGAGAATAGTTCGTCGTGTTCTTGTCTTTAATAAAACAGTTTATAACATTTTTTGCAAATTGTTAATAATTCTTGATAGTTTTTTGAAATTTCCCTTAAATATGTAATAGCAGAAGGAAACATGAAACTGAAACTAACCTGTTAACCAGTGCAGATGTTAAACTTCTTAGTAAGGGCCGTAAGCTATTTTGAGCTAGTTTAATTGTGAGTAAATATTACGTAGGCCCAACCCATTTTTAGGGCCCTATTAGTGGGCCCCTAGCTTGCTAGGCCTCTGATCATACCGAAGCTAGAACGCCTTTGATTGACCTACGGGATAACTCAGCTACTGCCCGGGCCCAAAACTGCGGCCGGGCCTAATTTTTTTAATTAAAAATTGTTAGTACCCTAATCTTTTTAATTTTGGAATCAATTAAAAACTTTCATATTGAAATTAGTCCCCTTCTTTTAAGCCCAGTCTCCTACATCTTGATATTTTGAAATCGGTGCCTCAAAACTTTTAAGTATTTTATAATTAGTACACCAAATCTTTGAACCAACTATTAACTCGAAGAAGTAGTATTAAAACATTTAGAAATTTGGGGGACTAAACTCAAAATATGAAGATTTGTTAGACTAATTCTAAAAGGTGATGGGGACTTAGTTCTAAAATAAAACTTTTTTTATATACATATATTTCAGGAATGAAATATTTGAGCACTAACCTAAGGGCATCTCCAACCATTCCCTAATTACTGCGCTATTTTAGTGCAACGAAATTATTCCTTCTCCAACCATGTCCTATTTTTCACGCCATTTTGGTGAAAATGAACAGTGTGACGTCATATTTGACGTGCACTGTTCATCGCGTTATTACTGTTCATCACGCTATTTTTTACCGTATTTTATTTTTTATTGTGTTCTTAAATTTAATATTTTGGTAATATCAATAATAAAAATAATAAAATAATATTTTATAATTTTACCCTAATAATCTTAATTAATAAAATAATATTTTATTATAATATTTTATAATATTTTACCCTAATAATATCCCCAACGTAGCGACAAAATGTCGCAAACAGTGCATTTTCCGCTGCGTTGGTACTCCAATCGAGCGTCATTCTCTGCGGCATTTGTCACACAGTTTCTCACTCCATTCTCTACGTCATTTGGAAAAAACATGTGTTACATGACATAATGACTGGATGCATTATTATGCATAATATGATAATCGAAGATGAACGTGATCTTTATGCACCTATTCAAGAAGTGAATGAAGCACCAACATCAGAAGTTAATATTGTAGCAGATGAAACTACAAGATTTAATCAATTTATTGCACGTTACAGACAAATCAATGATAAAGATGCCCATATTGCGCTTCGTAACGCATTCATAGATCATCTATGAGAGGAATACACTAATTTAGATAGTTAAGTGCACATTGAATTTATAATTTTTACATTGTTGTTAATGTTTAATTATTTTCTTGTATTTTATTTTTTGTTGTGTTCTTAAATATAGTATTTTAGCAATATAAATAATAAAAATATAATATTTTAGCAATCAAGTTATTTTAATTAATAAATTAATATTTTATTATTTTATTAGTTTAATTTTTAAATAATAAATCATTTTGTTTGAAAAATATGTGAAAAATAAAATTTGATGTGGGGTTAATTGTTGAAATAGTTAAAAATATAAGGAAATAAAAAATAATAATATAAAAATAGATAAAAGGAATATACTAAGAATATATTTTTTTTTTTGAAAAAATGGTACAGTAAGTTTACGATGAATTATTATTTAATGTGACTTATGTAAAATTTGCATCATGGATTGGAGATGAGCTAATGAATCCATGTCAAAAGAAGAATCACGAAATCGAGAAGACTTTGATTCTGGTTTACAAAATCCTTATTACGGATTATCATTTTGATGTCGTGTACCCTTTCGGACGCTAAATTGAAATGAAATCTGTTGAAGTTGAAATTTGTAAAGTGTCGAAAGTAATCTCGAAACAAAAGAGATCGTTCATGATAAACAAACTGTTTAGAGTATTCTCCACGCAAGATCTCAATCCAACCCTGAAAGTTGCGAGCTGAAGGAACACCGGAACACCAATCGTACAGACAGAGGAAAGAGAGGGTTCAAACTGCAATAGCGCTCAAAATCTATTTATACAGCAATCCTCCAATAAAGGTACTCACTGCCCCAATTTCACAAATCAACCCAACTAACAGATGAACTTAGCAAACCGCACCCTCCTTGCTCGAATATTTACAGCAAACCACCACCACCAACAACAACAACAACAAAAATAGATGACATTGAAGGAAAAACTGAGCTACAAACTAGTTGAGCTAGCTCAACGGGCACGCGCAGGCAGTGGGCGAGGAGACGAGGCAAAGGGAAGGCTGCGCAGCATCAGGAACCGCATCCGGCGGGGGAACGGCGCGTCGTAGAGCAGCTGCTCCAGCACTCTCGCTACCAGCACCGTGTATTCCTCTAACAACTCGGCAACCACCGCCACCAGTATCATTTTCTTTTGTCCTTTATTATTCTCCTCCAACTTCTAAACCCTTTTTGCTTGGTATTTTGTTTTGAGTAAAACAGGAATTCAGTAATAATTTTGGAGGTTTGTTAGGCTTTAATTGTGGAGGGGTTTTGCAATTAATGGCTGTCAATTTGTTTTCATCGAGCGGGTAGGTAGCTTGGAGTGGGAGTGATGTTGATATATCTCGAGAAGGGGGGAGAGAGTTCGGGACGCGTGGATAAAAGATTTCTCGATCTTATCACTTTGAGGGATGAATGTCAACATCACGTTGTTGTAGGCCCAAGGTCCTTTGTCATTCTTCACTGGCATTATTCTACTTTATAAAGGGGCCACTCTAATATAATAAAGTATCTTTGCGTGATCTTTTTATAATACTAGTTAGCAGGGCACGTGCAGTGCACCTGCCAACGTTAGTTGGGAGTTTATGAAAAAGAATCTTATATTTTATATTTGCACTAGCTAGAATAACAAAGACTATAGGAAAAATTGCCTCAAGACTTTAAAACCCAAAAGCAATGTGTCACAGCCTTCATATTATTTAGGGGTTTTTGCTTTTAGACCCATTTGTTTACTCCCATTTATCTTTAAACTCAAATACTATTATTTCTATCTTTAAGCCCAATTCACCTTTTGTATTTATCTTTAAACCCAATCTCCAAAATATAAAAACAAGTGGTGAAAATATAGTATTTTGAAGATTAGGTTTAAAGATAAATACAAAAGTGAATTGGGCTTAAAGATACAAATAATAGTACTTGGGTTTAAAGATAAATGGGAGTAAACAAATGGGTCTAAAAGCAAAAACCCCTATTATTTATAATGTGCTGTAATTTTTAAATTTCGAAAAAATTATGTCACAACCTCTCCAGCTCATAATTAGCCAATTTTTATATGTTTTTACCCAAAAAACCAACTTTACCCCTCTCCACTTCTTCTTCAATCCTATTCTCTCCAACCCCAGCCCCCACATGCCCCCAAACGCCAGAAAAAATTACGGTACTCGCCAGCAGCGCGCTCCCCGTCGAGGTCCTCCTCGACGGCGACGATGGGTCGCGGGCGTTCGTGCTGAGCTAGCTGAGCATCGCCCCTGACGAGGAGATCGTGTTCAAGAACAACGTCAGGTTCCCCTACAACATGGTGTTCGACGAGGATAAGATCCCGTCGGGGGTCGACGTGGGGGCGATCTCGATGAGCTAGGAGGACCTGCTGAATGGCCCCGACGAGACCTACAAGGTGACACTGAAGGAGAAAGGGTCCTACAGTTTCGACTGCTCCCCTCACCAGGGAGCTGGAATGGTGGGAAAAGTTACCGTTAATTAGATCATATTTTCCGAATTTTAAGAGGTTTGGATGAATGAATGAGACTTTTTTATTATTTGCGCGGATTTGGTGAACTCCTGTTGTTTATTGGATTTAGGGTAGGTTTTTGGTTGAGTAAAATATGCAATTATCAACTTAATGCTGCATTTCGCTGTTCGTCATACGTTTTGTGCCAAGTATTTGGGGATGTAGCAATTCAGTTACTTGAAGTCGACTTTTATTATCATCAAGTGTTTGGTTGAGTAAAAATTGTTAACTATTAATATTATCTGTTATGTCATCAGAAACATGTTAACTTACTTTATTCGCTTGTTAAGTTACACGGATAACATGTTAACTTTCGCAGTTCGCTTGTTAAGTTACACTGATAACATGTTAACTTTCGGCAGCTATATTGATGTTGAACAAAATGCATCTGTTCTATATGACGCTCATATATAAACGATCTCATTTTAACATGTTAACTATAATACATATTAACCTTAATTGGTAAATTGATAATTATATTCAATAAATTGTTAACTATAATTCATTATATGTTAACTGTTATTTGTAATATGTTAACTAATACTCTTATCTTGTTAACTATTAATCATTATCTGTTAACTGTTATTTATAAGTTGTTAACTATAATAAATTATTTGTTAACTGCTATTTGTAAACTGTAACTATAATCCATTATCCGTTAATTGTTATTTGTAATCTATTATCCGTTAACTGTTATTTATCGTTAACTGTTATTTGTAATCTATTATTCGTTAATTGTTGTTTCAGGTCATATACATGTTAATATAGTTCTCATTTAACATGTTAACTATAATATGTAGCATGTTAACATAATCCGTTAACACGTTAAATGAGAACTATATTAACGTGTTATATTTAACATGTTAACATATTTATAGTTAACACGTTAAATGAGAACTATAAGAACTATATTAACGTGTTATATTTAACATGTTAACATATTTATAGTTAACACGTTAAATGAGAACTATATTAACATGTTAACATAATCCGTTTTAACATGTTAACATATTTATAGTTAACACGTTAAATGAGAACTATATTAACATGTTAACATAATCCGTTTACACGTTAAATGAGAACTATGTTAAACTTAATTGCTAATTTGATAACTATATTAACGCGTTAATAGATTATATTAACTATAATACGTTAATATAGTTCTTATTTAACATGCTACGTATTAAAATTATCAATTTACGTATTATAGTTATCAATTTACGTATTATAGTTCTCACTTAACGTGTTAGCGGATTATGTTAGCATGCTACGCATTATAGTTAACATGTTAAATGAGAACTATATTAACGTGTATATGACTCAAAATAACAGTTAATGGATAATGGATTACAAATAACAGTTAACGGTAAATGACAGTTAACGGATAATGGATTATAAATAACAGCTAACAGATTACAAATAATAGTTAACGGATAATTGATTATAGTTAACAGTTTACAAATAATAGTTAACAGATAATTTATTATAGTTAACAGTTTATAAATAACAGTTAAGAGATAATGATTAATAGTTAACAAGATAAGGGTGTTAGTTAACAGATTACAAATAAATTGCAAAAAGGAACATGTTATCTTGATCTCATCTTTTGGTACACTACGTTCTCATAATTTAAAATTAACAATTTTTAATTATATTTAACATAAAACATGTAAACATTAACAATCAATCAACTATAGTAATTTGAGCGGCTTCTTTTGATGAATTCAAGCTTTAATAGTATAGCATATCTCCAAGCAACACCATTCTTGTGTGGTATTTCATCAAACACCCTTATTGCATCTATTCAGTGTCCTAGCAACATACGTTCCCTTATAAATCGAGGCCCAATATCAGCTAAAGATCCTGAGGATCCGAGATATGTCAGGCCTTTCACCCGATGACGTTTCAATAGTGGTTAATGTACTCAGACTCGAGCTCATAGAAGCTATTGAGCATTAAGTCATAACTCTTATGCTCGGGGTCTTTAATCGAGGCAAACATACTGGCCTTTTTAGGATTGGTGTTGTTTGGTGGTAAAATTAAAAGAAGAAAATGAAGAATTAAATTTGTATTATTCTCTCTAACAGACTTAGAAAAAAAATGAATTAGAATTCTCTCGATGCAATCTCTCTCTAACAAACTTGAAAAAAATTACAATCTTCTCGATCAGTTTTCTAATTTACAAAGGAGAGAAAGATCGACGGTGACTCTTTCCTTTGTTTAACTTGGGTTCTTCTTGGTGTCGATGGAATGCTTCCCTCAAATACTTGGGTCGAGTTTTCTTTCTGTTGACGATCCGAACGCTTCACCCCGTGGAACATTATTTTCGCCTCTTGACTCGAAGTCTTGGACGAACTTGCGTGACAAGTTTGAAACTCTTAATGAGTTAGGGAACTCTGAGCGAGTTATAACTCTATAAAAGAGTTGATTGATTTAACCGAAAATCGGTTTGTAATCCAAGGTTAATGAAAGCTCTAAGAACAACTCCGAGGGTCTGAAGATTGTCGAGATCTTTCTTCTACCAAGAATCCTGTGCCGATCTCTAGGCCTGTCCAATAAGCCCTCTGGCCCGGGGTTGGCCCGGAAACTCGGGCTAGACCAGGTTCCGGGCCCGGCCCGAAATAGTAAAATTTTTTTTATATTTTTATATATTTGTATATGTATAATATATGCATATATATAATATATGTATATATAATATATGTATATATAATATATGTATATATAATATATGTATATATATAATATATGTATATAATATATATATATATATATATATATATGTTTATGTATAATACAATTTATTTATGTAATTTCTATAAGTACTTACAATTTACTCTCTCTTATATATGTATAATATATGTATAAGTATATATAAGTATACTCTCTCTTATATATTTATAATATATGTATGTGTGTGTGTGAATATATATTGTGTATATATAAGTACAAAGCGAAGCATGATCAACATTAGGTTTCTTGTAACTTTGGCATAGACGACATGGTATGACTGAAATTGAGTAAGGAGAGGCTAAAGGGAAAAGGGGAGAAGTTGAAACCTATATGTTATGGTCTGTTTCGGATTCTCGATCAGATTGGTGACAACACTTTCAGGCTGGATTTGCCACCTTACTTAGGCATGTATTCGGTGATAAATACCGAGTATTTGAAGTTGTTTGAGCCTCCATTGCTGGATGATGAAGGTGACGACAAGATGATCTTGCCGCATGTTGAAAACTTGTGGTTTGATAGAAAAGAGCCGCTGAAAGAATATTGCATTTATGAGCGGAAGACGACCATGACGAGGCGGGGGACGAGGGAGTCGTTTCTCATTGGACGTTAAGATCAGGTTCCTAGTAAGGCTAAGTGGTTCAACAGGGAAGGAGGAGCTCACGAGTTTCCTCAGTTGAAGTTCTAACTTGAACAGGACTTCAGGTTCCTAAAGGGGGGACCTATGATACATGTGTATCTTCTCTTTAAAACTTAGCGATCCTCGTGAGAGCTTGAGGATAGATGATTCTCATGGTAGCTTGAGAATAGAGGTATAAAACAACATAATGGAACGTAAGTTGAAGCGTGGAACGATACGACAAATCGGAGAATCGAAGCATCTAGTTTTTAGCCTGTGAGACGACTCATAACAGTCATGAGTCGACTCATCAGGTTGAGTCGACTCATGCCTATCATAAGTCGACTCATGAAACTCAGTCGTTTTGTCAAAAATCTCTGACCAGTTGACTCATCACTATATGAGTCGACCCATGTGTCATAAGTCGACTCATGACTGTCATGAGTCGACTCATGAATCCCGGCAGGTGTTGACATAGTTTCTGACCAGTCGACTCATGACTGTCATGAGTCAATCCATATGACATGAGTCGACTCATACATGCACATGAGTCGACTCATTGATGGTTTCCTGGTTCGTTTGGGTTTCTGTTTGCACGAATTC